TCTGTTCGAGAGATATAAAAGTTCCCCTGTTAATTCTTGATATTGTGTTTGGTTAACCATTTCGTTTGAACAGCTAAAACTCCTATCCTCACCTCTTACGATTGGTGTTTTTACACATTTAGAATCAAACATACCATGTTTCTGCAGTAAATAGTTTATATATTCAGTTTGAGACAAAGTTACGCCCTTTTCACTTTTATTTATTTCAATACCTAGAAATTTATTCTCTTTACTTTCTTTCACTTCAAATATCCGACATAATTTTCCCACTATATCATTATACATTTGCAAATCTGAATAAATAACTATTAAGTCGTCTACGTATATTCCAATATAAAAATACTTAGAATTCTCTATTCTAGTGAAAATACAATTATCCGAAGCTAGCTGTTTTAAATCAAGCTTTTCTAATTCCCGTTTAAGGTGTAAATGCCAATTTCGACCTGATTGGGGCAATCCGTAAAGACTACGTTTTAACTTGCATACTTTATTTTCCCCATACAAATGTTTAAAACCTGGGGGAATAGTCATATATACAGTTTCTTCTAAATTATTATAAAGATATGCATTTTTAATATCTAAAAATTTTACTTCTAAATTTAATTTGGCAGATAATACTAACAACAAACGCAAAGATTCGGTACTTAACACGGGTGAATCCCGTGTTAAGTACCGAATCTTACAAAATTACACCGTTCACTCTAAATAATCACGATTTTTTACTTGATTAAAACCTGCTGCTACTAACCTAGCTTTGAATTTATTTTCTCTCATAGTAAAAACCCATTCACTTTTAACTATTTTTACATTTTCAGGCTTATCTACTAAATCCCAAACATCGTGTTCCTGAATAGAATTTAATTCTTCATTCATTGCTTTTTCCCATTTTAACCAATTTTTATCACGTTTAGCTTCATCAAAATTGCCCGGAATATTAGTTACTAAGTTTGAACTTTTTTCCTTTATTCTATCTGATCGACGTACACCTAGCTTTAGTAACCTGTTTTCGTCTTCAATTATTCGTTGTTCATTTAATTCCCTAATTTTTTCCTTAGTTGCACCTACAGGACGACCGCGAGTTTTAGTTTCACTTAAATCTCGGCTATCCTTCAAATCAAGTGGAAATTCAAAACTTGTATTTTGGTCTTCTACATTAGTTTGGATATTAAAAAATTCATATATGTCATTAGATTTATCCTTACTAAACAAATTACTACTACCTAATAATTTCTCATTAAATTTTACTGAACGTTCTTCGATTACTTTATTTCTTTCAGGGTCGTAAATACGATAAGCTCGTCTTTCATTCGAATATCCCAACATAATACCTTTTCTACCTGGAATAGAAAGTTTGTGTCTTAAAGCCTTAGGAACGTGATAGTATACTGTAGATCCAAAAACACGTAGATATTTATAGTTCTGCTTTTTATTAAAGAATAATTCTTTTGGAACTTCAGTTTTACCTTTTCGAGGAGTTAGGTTAGTAACATGCGTTGCATAGGCTATTGCTTCAGCCCAAAAATTTAAAGGAAGTTTACTATCATAGATTAATGTTCTAGCTCTATCTAACAAAACNTAGGATTATTATGTGCGTATCTAGGATCCTTTTTTTTTTTTAACAAATATTAAATATGGTTCAAATATACCTTTTTTGATATTAAATAACAAAACCACAGCTGTATGTCTAACCACAACTCATTTAAATTTTGTGTAAAATATATAATTACCAGTAATCATTTGATTGATATTCATATAAGACAAGACAAATAAGAAAACTTAAAAAAGATTTATTTTGTTTAAGAATCATTGACTTTAGCAATATTGAAACATATATCCTGGATTTTATCAGATATATATCTGTTTCTTTTCTTCATAGCCTCCTCCATTTCTGTGGCAGTGACTCCTCTTTTCATTAGATATTCCCTCATCTGACCTGAAATAAAAATAAAATGTCAATATGGAAAAAGGCAAATAAAAATAAAAACAAGTTTTTAAAAAACAATAGCACTTGGAAAAGTCTTGACTTTGCTAAAAAAATCTGTTTGTTAAAGAGCAAAAATATTCCAGCTGTGGATGAATTGATGTCTATTTCTGAATAGTTAAAAGCTGAACTTTGTAGTAGTTCTGGTAGTTCTTCAGTAAAAAATAAACAACAAATTTTTAAATCTTTACAAAAATTTCAATTAAGACAATATTTAGTTTGAACTTTCACAATTTTAAACATTTATGTAGCATCTAAGTGATATTTTAAACATCTTTCACTGTAAAATTTTACATTAAGTAGCAGGAAAGCTTCTGCAATTTCTTATATGAGCATGTTAGTCGCCACATTGCCTTTACCTGGGTGTCGAGTATGTTGTGTAATCCCTGCCATTCAGATATGTATGACGTTCTTTTTTTTTTCAAAATTAATAGAGTTTTCAAAACAATTTATGAAATAAGCTCTGAAATATAAATATTGGATATATAACACAAAAATATATGCATTATACATTGTTGGTATTATCTCATTACGTCCTGACAATATTTGAATTTTGGCCTCATAAGAAACTGAAGCGAATACTCCAATAAAATAGTAAAGTTAAACAGCAGAATCTATGTTTTAACCAAATAAACACCTTTTTCGTATCTAAAAACTTAGTGTAGGGAAATATTTTATCAAATTTATAACAAATAGAACTACACTGTCTCCACTACTTAAATTAGCAAAGTTGCAAAAGGCAGAGAGCATATTGTAATTAAAACTGTTGTGATCAGGATTAATTAATGCTATCAGAGCCAAAGTAAAAACAGTCATTTATGTAATTTCAATCAGACACATTTGTTAAGGCATTCATAAATTAATAAAATAACTTTCAACTTATAAATTAAAATAGTTCTCATAACACACTGTTACATTCCCAGTCTTTGCCAATGCAGTCAAAGGAAACAGAATATAAACAAACAATATGACAAATTTTGAGACTTCAAAGGAAGTGGTGTTCAGCAAGTGTGGAATTTAAAATAAAGAAGTCAGGCTTCAGAATATATTTTTAGTAAATGGATTGACATTTACTTTCCTTCTTTTGCTAATACTATNGTTATATGCATATAGTATACATATAACCATTTAATGATCCAAAAACATCAAAATTGAGACTCAAGATAACAGAATTTTCAATTCTATGTCTCCATTATGACTTGTACAGTACTCTATCAAGCTTTTTCCGAACGATACTTATTTTGTGAAAATTTAGACATAATTTTTGAAAATTAAAAATTATATTAAAAAATCAACACACAATTATAATAAAAATATAGATTTATTGTTTCCTACGAGACACATAATAAAATTTTAAGAAAAAATACTTTGTGAAACGACCATTTTTTCCTGAATTCCCTGTTGCAGGTAACTTAAATTTTACTGATGGATCAAAATTTTGATGCTTCAGTATCTATCAATTTGGCTTGGAAAGATTCATGTGGAAGGAGAGTTCCATCACAATTCCCATATTTCAAAGTTGTAAGGAATAGATTAAATGTATTTTGCCTCTCCAAATATTTAAAAAGAAAGTTCTTTTAATTTAGTATGTTTAACAAATTTTTCACATATTTATATTTTTATTGTTAAATTAACTTTTTATAGTCATATTATCTCTAATATGAATCGTTTGCAAAAATATATTTTAAACTAAGTAAAAAATGTCCAAATGAAAAGGACCTATTGCTATCAATTACAGATAGAAAAAAAACGGGGGAAATAATTCTTGGAGTTTTCTTTTTCCACAACATAATTTTGTTTAAAGTTTCCTCAAGCAAAGTAACCCCTCATTAAAAACAATCATCCCTCCAACACAAACACTAGATGGCGTGATCAAAACCTTGATTAACACATAATTTTAAACTAAATACTTAAGTACTTCACTTACTTCCTGCCAATTCTAACAGCATAATTCTCACACCCTTCTGTTCATGCTGTCAGTTTATTGGCGCCTGTAATGTCCTCTTCAATGGATTTTCTAAATCAAAATAAAACATTCACATTATAAATTTAAAGTTATAAATATTCATAAAAAAATAAGTTTCATAAATAGTTATTGGAAAATGGGTGATTAACCAAATTTAATATGAATTGTATATTCTGAGAGAATATACATATTTCTAACTGAAATGCTAGGTAGAAAACATAAGTTAGTTACTCTAAGTTAAGTCACGATTAGAGCAAATGAACACATAAAGAATAAGTGTTAAAATTTAAAAGTATTGTTCATTGGTTTAAGTCTCAACTTAAATAAAAATTTTTTAGAGAAATCAGCAATTTCAAAATTCATGAAGCATTCAAATACAAGTTTTTCCAAATATCCACTGATATTCATAGCTTTGAAATTTTTGTTAATATATTGCTGTGTTAATAAAGCAAAATTGCATTAATACTCGGACGGCAATAAATTATAGCATTTTCTAAATAACAGTTTANAAAATGTCCAAATGAAAAGGACCTATTGCTATCAATTACAGAAAGAAAAAAAACGGGGGAAATAATTCTTGGAGTTTTCTTTTTCCACAACATAATTTTGTTTAAAGTTTCCTTAAGCAAAGCAACCCCTCATTAAAAACAATCATCCCTCCAACACAAACACTAGATGGCGTGTTTAAAACCTTGATTAACATACAATTTTAAACTAAATACTTAAGTACTTCACTTACTTCCTGCCAATTCTCACACCCTTCTGTCCATGCTGTCAGTTTATTGGCTCTTGTAATGTCCTCTTCAATGGATTTTCTAAATCAAAATAAAACATTCACATTATAAATTTAAAGTTATAAATATTCATAAAAAGAATATACATATTTCTAACTGAAATGCTAAGTAGAAAACATAAGTTAGTTACTCTAAGTTAAGTCATGATTAGAGCAAATGAACACATAAAGAATAAGTGTTAAAATTTAAAAGTATTGTTCATTGGTTTAAGTCTCAACTTAAATAAAAGTTTTTTAGAGAAATCAGCAATTTCAAAATTCATGAAGCATTCAAATACAAGCTTTTCCAAATATCCACTGATATTCATAGCTTTGAAATTTTTGTTAATATATTGCTGTGTTAATAAAGCAAAATTGCATTAATACTCGGACGGCAATAAATTATAGCATTTTCTAAATAACAGTATAATAGAAAAAAAATTTTGGTAAAAATTTTTTAGAACTACGAACAAAGTAAAAATATTTTTTTTTTTTTTTCATCCTTCATTTACGTCTTCATTACAAAAAGCGGTATTATTTAAAAGAGAATGGATTTATTTTGCAAAAAGCATTTCAACTAATTCCTATAAAATACAATCCTTATACACCATATTTTCATTATAATATAGGAATGTCACCTTTTTAAGTGAAAATACAGCAGGTAGATTAACTAAGAGCCACACATGTATTTGCTCGTGTAGACAGCATATATGTTAATTTTTATGTTCTACGAGTTGTGATCATTAAATTCAGTGTAATTTTTTTATCAGTAAACTTGATAATATGTTTTCAGAAAATCAAATACTTTTAATTGTTAGACACAAAATAAAGAGCTTGAAGAAGTGGTTATTATAACTAAAAGCACAATTCAAGAGTCTGAATATCGTATTAAATGTAATCAGGATTTTAATGACCACATGGCGATAGTAGTTTTAACTGTCTAAAAGCAGTCAAAACCCCATTTGAATTTATAAAAAATCGGAGAAAATAAGGTAAAACTAAGCGTAATCACTGAAATTTGCATAATAACACAATAAAAATATTTGCTTTTTTAAAACCATTTGAAATTTCACAGCAATAACAATGGAAAAAGCAATTGAGAAACATAGATTTACTTGTGTTTAGAAGCTTTCCCTTGCGTCATATCAACAGTCAGCAGGTTACATCTGGCTCACTAGTCGCAGGCTGAGCACCACTATATTATTTCAAATATAGAGCAAAAGATACAG